CGCGAAATGATCACAAGAGGGAGTTTGGTTAAATCGAAAAGTCACTTATTTATTCAATTAATGTCCAAGTTATTCGTATTCTAATAATTCGCAAATATTCTTAAATTACTACTCAATCGCGTTTAATTGACAAGAGAATCTCAATTATTACTTAAGTGTGACGTCAGAGTACCATAAGGGTACACGCAAGAGAGTCCAAGGGGAAACCGTCGAGTCACAACGCGCTCTCGGCTCGAATCCCAATCTCGTGCCGCGCACTTGCACTCGCGCGTCTCTGCGTCACTTTACGCGAAGCCTAATACCACGTGAATTCGCCCGCGAAAGTCCAAGGGGAATCACAGAGTCACAACACGTGCCCTGCTCGGTTCCCGATTTCGTGACGCGTACTTACTCACTACTCGGCAATGACTTCGCACGACTCGGCCTACGACGGCTCTGCGACGACGTGCTGACGGATACGGCGAAATCCAAATGTGGCCGATTCTTGGCACCCGATCGCGCGCGACTCAAAAGCGACTTTCTCGCCTCGGACGACTTACTACGCAATTACAACTACACGCTACTAGATTTACTTTACGACGCGACGTACTATTTCACACACACACACACACATCGACATACAATATGCACGCCCTTCACACACACACGACCGACCAAGAACGATTACCAATTACAAAGAAACTAAACGCTTACGAAGTCCTCGGCGCGATCTTGCGATGCCATGCCGCTGTCGACTCGTTGATGCAGGCGCGAGGTTGTGTCCGAGTCGATTTGGATCGGATCTGCGCCACTTCTCACTCGTCGATGTAGCCTCGCCGATGGATCGTGGATCGGCGCCGTTTCTTGTTGGCAAAGTGTACGCGGTAGCACTCGCACTGCTCCCATTTCTCTCACGATGCCACCTCGGTCTTCGCGACGATGTTGTTCGTGCGTGACGCGGCACACACAGCACTACGTAACGCGTAGCTCGCACTCGTTATCGTCGAGCTCGACACGCTCCTAACCTCTCCACTGGTTCCACACACGACTAGCTCACTCTCTCTACGTACTTCGCCTCGGACTCGCCGTACTCAGCTCACTAGCTTCTCTCGCGAACTCAACAAAAACTCTGCCACGTTGTGGTGCGTACTCGATCGAGCGGTAACGTGTAATAATGGCGTCGTTTCACGTGTCGTTTTGGCTCGCCTTCGTTTTCCTCCTCGTTGCTCGTTGCTCTACTGCTGCTGCTGTTTCGACTTGCCGCTCGCTCGGCCGGTAACAGGCACGTGCCTACACTGCCGCGGCGCGTGAAAGTTAGGAGCGCTTAGCTCCTCCTTCATCCTATACGGTAGGTCGGTCGCAACTCTCACACGTGCATACGCGCGGCATTCATACACAAACGAGTGGCGTTCGTCGCCAGTGACATCGTCACAATATATATACGTTGTAAATAATATAATAAAATAATATAAGGTATTGTAAATAATGTAAGGTAATGTAAGGTAATGTAAGGTAATGTAAAAAATAATGTAAGGTATTTGTAAATAATAAAATAATATAAGGTATTTATTATTTATATATATTGTAAATACAAGGTATCAATTATTTTGACCCATATACATTTTAAATGCAAGGTATTTATTACATATAAATATATATACATTCGATCGTCGATTGGTTGCAGGGGCTGATGCGCAAGCGCGCAGACGACGCAGATGGAGTCGGTACAGTAGCGATGATCCTGATCGGCCGTGGAGGTAGGTTCGGTTCTCAATTAACACTTTGAAACGTGAGGAAGACACACGCGCACTCCTGGTGGTGATGGTACGTACGAGGACAAAATAATGACCTCAAAGAGGTGGGCCGACGTTGCCTCGACTCTCGCGAGGAGGGCTTACGTCAGGGGAGGTCACGTCGACGGAGTGCAACGGACTTATTGCTACTCGTCGCGCAAGTGCTCCGCTCGTTGGAACAGCAAGTCCGAGCTTGCAGGGAGAGGTCGATGACCTGCGGGTCGTGAGACTCCGGTAACGCAACTCTTTCCTCTGGACAATCTTGCCCGTGCCGAGAATCAAAAGGACATCCGCCCATGTTGATACCTGAGCACGAGGTTGATTGAAGAGAGGGGAAGAGGGAGTATCGGCACTCGAACGTCAGAATCTCGCACCGGGATATTCTCCAGTGCACGAAGCCGTGGCGACGAGCGACTGTGACACTCTCGTTTGATGGACTATGTCCGGTAATTAGCTCGGAGGCTAAGTTCGCTAATCACTTCAGAGACTAAGTTCACTAATCAACTCAGAAACTAAGATCGCAAAATAACTCAGAGACTAAGTTCGCTAAATAACTCAGAGGCTAAGTTCGCCAATTGCTCACGAGACTAAGTCCACTAACTAGCTCTGCGGCTGAGTCCTTCACGGATATGATCCTAACAAAGTTAAAGTCCAACAGAGGTTCGTCAATATAATCGGTTCGCAAGTCAATTAGCAAGAGCTGGGGTAGTGCTTGGTTGGTCGTTCAAGAATGAATGATACTGCAGCGAAAAACTGCGCTCAATATATACTCGTCGGAAAATCGGCAGCGCGAGGGAGGAGGGAAGGGATAGCCGCTGGACGGGTGATCAAGCCACCGGTTCAGATAGCTCAAACGCACTGTGGCTGTAGGCTTTGAGGGAGTAAGAGAAGGGGAGCGCCAATGGTCGTGCAGTAGGCGGAGTAACGGCTGCGTCGGTGCCGCTGCAGAGTTCGGTTACGCATCTGAACCTGCATCCGGCGGCGCCGTTTCATCTATTAATGGCCCATTGGTTCATGCGTGCTTGCGGGGATTTGAGGCTGTCGGTTGCGCTGGTGCTTGCGGTGCTCTTTCATCTGAACGTATGTGCATCGGCGGCTGCTCTTTCATCTGAGCGCCTGTGCGTCGGCGGTACTCTGCGCGTCCAAGCGTGCTCGAGACGGTTGGTTCTTTGATGCGTGCATGCGGTGTGCGGTGTGGTATGCATCTACCCAAGCGGCGTATTTCTTCGTGCCTGCTACCTACTAGCTCGACCCTCGGTCTTACCCACGGTCGGTGAGGCAGATTGCACTTGCATGTCCAAGGTCGCTGCTGCGTGCGTTGTGCTGACGAGTCGGTCTGTACATTACACCTGCAGGCAAGGTTCACGGATTTTCCTGAAATGTTTTCCTGGTATGTTATCGTGCATTGAAAAAGGGTCCCAAAACCAAAATTTTAGACCCCTTCCCCGCTCCTACTCCCCACCCCCGCTATAAACGTCTATTTTCTATTTATATTTATTCTGAAGCCCTGAAGTAATTGAAAAATCTGAAAAAATTCATGAAGGTACTTTTTAACAATTCAAACAATCTTGAATTTTTCCAGATTTGAGTGCTTCAGCCTTCAGAAAAAATCATTGAAAATTACAATTGTTTTATTTTCGGTGAAATGGTTCAATATACCAGACCGGAGTGTTTTTTTCTTAATTCTGAGACCAAAAAACGATTCCTTGAGTTTTTTCAGAATTTTTCATTCATGCCGATAAAGCCTAGAGCTGAAAACCCCCTTTTTTCCACTAAAATAGGTACAACATGTAATGGAGCCTCCAAAAATCTGGATATATTTTTTTATTTTTTTCTTCATCAAAATACATGATCTTAAATTTTTTCAGATTAATTTAGTGAAGGCGATAGCGTCCGGAGCCGAAAAACGTTATTTTTAACAAAAAAGGTTCCTGGAACCCGATGGTTCCGGTAAAAAAATTTGAAAATATTTTTTTGAATACCTTGTCAAATTTTAATAAAATTTGACCATTTCAAGTTTTTGATTGAAGCTTCCTAGCTCATTCTAGAGCATAACAAAGATTAATGCGAAATTCTGAAGATATTCACCATACTTACACTTTTTAGTCATCGATTTTCCAGATTTTTTGGGGAGGCCAGAACTTTAGCGCGAGATTCATTCAACGCGTAATATATAGATATGAAAAATAAAAATGGTGGTTCAGATAATATACAATCTCGAGTGTGAAAAATTATCAATCACATTATCAGTCCTGTTCTTACTGAGATAGTTAATGACTGCATAGAGATGGGTTTTTGGCCCTCTTCATTAAAACAAGCCGATGTTGTACCTATTTTTAAATCTGGTGTTGACATTCTAGTGACTAAATATAGACCAATATCTTTGATATCAAACATTGAAAAAGTGTTTAAAAAACTGATTCATACCAGAATATATGATTTCCTAATTAAATATAATCGAATTAATAAAAAACAGTTCGGTTTTATTAAAAAATAAGGTACATCTGAAGCATTAGAGAAAATTTTGAATAGCATCTATGAAAATATTGATAAGGATAATGCCGTTATAGCTACCTTCATTGATCTAAGCAAAGCTTTAGATACAGTCAATCACACGATACTGTTGGAAAAACTAGAGAGTGAGGGCATAAGAGGAGTCACTTTTGATATTTTTAAGCAATATCTATCAAATAGGACCCACCGAGTTAAAATTGGTAGCGCCACTAGTCTGTCTAGGAGAGTTGAAATAGGGGCTCCCCGGGGTACTGTCCTGGGACCACTACTTTTCTTAGTTTATGTAAATGATATTTTTGATGTACGTGAGGATGTATGCTTTTGCTGATGATACTATTGTGCTTGACTATCGCGTAACATGGGAACAGGCTCAACGAAGTATGAATGTTAAACTGAAGGCACTAAACGACTGGTTTGTTAAAAATGAACTAACTTTAAATATTACTAAAACGGAACATCCCTTTCGGCTGCTAAGCAAACAGTGTCTCTCAGAGTACTGAGATCATAGTAGGGGTCAGGCAGGTTGGCCGAACTAGCGTAATGAAATACCTCGGAAAATTACAGAGTAAATAAATGACGATTGTTTGTGTGCCTTCTATTTTCAAAATGTACCTGAATTCATCACCTTCTAGTCCAGCTTTTTATCGGTCTCGTCATTCGATTATACAAAACTATAATGAGATATTTTTTTATAGTATATAATAAAGTACTTACCCATAGAAGTGCCCTCTGACAAACTCGTTTATCTTTTCTTTATTGACAGCATGCAGATTTTGAAATTCATGCAATGCGGAAAATTTTTTTACATTCAAACCATTTGGCGTTATAATATCTGGCTTTCTTTTTAATAAATGTTCAGCTTCTAGTCCTGTTATATCAGACACTGTCGTAAAAGTATGAGCCAAGTGGGTAGCAGCTCGCTCAATACAATATCTATGATATATCTGTCTTTTTCCAGCTTCTTCATCCACATTAAACTAAATAAAACAGTGGTAAAAAGTTTATTATTTTTATAGTATATTATGATAAGTATGATTATAGTGCTCGCACTATATAATAAGGACAATTTTGAAGTTATTAGTATTCTAACCTATTTTTTAGCATTTTGCTTGTAACGTAAATAATTATGGTAACACAATTATTTCGTATATTTGGCCTTGAATAAACCGATCATTTCGAGTCTGCCGAATTAACGTACAATAACTCTGGAATTGTTGCGTATTCGATATTCTCTCTAATGTTCTATTCGAATATCTTTCGAATATCTTTCGAATAATTCTATTTCTATTCGATATTCTCTCTAAATTTCGATATATATATTGGGAATAGGGCGTCAATTCAACAGAAGCAAAACGAGAACGTTCATTGCTTCTGTTACCGTATTTCAAAGTCATGTAGGAGCATATACGCAAAATTGAAATTTTAGAAAAAACCAGTAAATACCTTAACGGTAAATGAGATGTCGGTCTCCTTTGTAAAACGACGTAGACTCGAGTTATTGGAAAGAAGACTAGGGTTAACCATCTAGGGAATGAATGGTTTCAAAAAATGCGAAATAAATCACATTATAAAAACCGCAATAATTTTTTTTATTTATGAAGTAGATGAATTTCAGATTTTAATGCTTTTCATGAACAAATTAACACATTAACATATTAACTTACGGTTTATGATCGTGAGAGATGAAAATTTGATTAAATTCAGATGTTCCCATTAAAGCCCATGTTAAATTAACCAACTTTACATTGACTTTCTATATTTTTTTTAGGTGCTGGTACATTTGAGATGGCATATTGAATTTCAATATTGAAACTATCGTTGTTATTTTTCTCAAATTAAGAAAATAAGTTTTTAAGTCATGAACGCTTAGTTATAAATGCTTTGTAGTTATAGAAATAATATAAAAAAACAATATAACACTAGTAATATGAAAAACTCAAGTGTTCGTGAAAAGACTCCGAAGAAAAGACTAAATATGAAATTAAGACGATTAAAATTACCTAATAAGCTGTGAGAACTTAAAATTTTGCAGTCAAAAAGGAAAATGAACAAAAAAAAACAACAAATAATGTTCAGGCATCTGTAGATCCTTCATTCATAGCATTTGAGCAAATATGGTTAATAAATTATGAATATGTTTGAATTTTTTTCAGAAGATAGTAAAGTGAGAAATGAAACAGTTCTAGTTTAACTAGGGAACAGGTAATGTGTGAAGATTTTCTTTGATTCTAATAGATTTGAAATTAACTTTTTTCAATGAAACTATAACACAGCCACATAAAAAAAAAATTTTCGAATCCACTGACCAGACCTAGTGGACTTTATGTTTTCGGGGTTGCTGAACTCGAATCCGGGGTCGGTTTTCCAAGGCTGGTTCATTTTAGAGGTCATTTGAAGTTCAAATAATGGGAAAGTGGTAAAAAATCTGAAAAAATTCCTACATGGGTTTTCGAGGATGCTGAATCCAAATCCGAGGTTGGATGACCTACAGGAGGTCACCTTCAAGGCCATTTGAAGGTCAAACTACGAGAATTCAATAAAAATATCCGAAAAAATCACACTTTTGTTTTGAGGGTGGCTCAATCTGAATCAGAGATCAATTTGACTCTATTCGGCCATGTAAAGGTCATTTGAAGGTCATTTCAATGTCAAATCATGAAAAAAAATTAAAAAAACAGAAAATTCTCATATATAGGTTTTCGAGGATGCTGAATTCAAATATAAAGTTAGGTGACCCCTACGACCTTGACTTCAAGGTCATTTGAATGTCAAACTTAGAGAATTCAATATAAAAATCCGAGAAAAATGACATTCCTATTTTGAAGGTTGCTGAATCTCAATCATAGTTCATATTGACTACACCTGGCCATTTAAAGGTCAGGTCAAAGGTTATCTAGTGAACGCGATAAAATAATAGAAAAAGATTGTGTATAGGTTTTTGGAGCTGAGGAATTCAGATATTTTATTGTCAAGATCAAGGTTGTTTTGCATGCCCTTTCACTTTTTTCATTTGAAACGCAGCTTTTTTTCTTCAAACGATCGGCGTAAAGGTTTCTGTTTGCATTTACTTCCTCTATGTTGGCTCTTTCTCTTCAACATCCAGCAGTAATCAGCCATCTGTACAACATCCCATCTACCGTGATATCGCTGCTCATATGTTTTATGTCTTAATGGAAGCATTCTCCTTGTCATTCGCTATAATCTCCACAGTTTTCTGGGAATTAATCTGCGTATAGTTATGCAGGGAATGCAGTCTATAAGACATATTACATTCCATTTTGTCGAAATGTTTTATCATCGCTGATATTAAAATTTTTCTATGATCGCTTCTGTGATTACCTTGAAAATTTTTCAAGTAATCCATGCACCATGGTCCATCTAATATTACATGTTACAATTTTTCATCGGATCTATGACAAAAAATAGATTCTCAATATTTGAAGCATTCATCATGGGATTTCGGCGAAATAGAATGTAATATGTTTTATAAACTGTAGTTCCTGTATAGCTATACATATTAATTCCCAGAAAACTGTGAAGATTTTGGCGACGAGCAAGTAGAATGGTTCCATCAAGACATAAAACATATGAAGCAGCGATATCAAGGTAGATAGGATTTGCGATGATGGCTGGATGTTGAAGAGAGAGTCAAAATAAGAGAGGCAAAAAACGCGAACTTCAACCATTACGCCGATCATTTGAAGAAAAAAAGATTTGTTACGAAAACAAAAAAGGAAAAACGCATGCAAAATTAAAAATATTTTTTTAATTTTTTTCTTTCTTGTATTAATCTAACATTGAAACGACCTTGAAGGTGACTTCATAGAGGTCATCTGACTTTAGACTTGAATTGAGCATCCTTAAAAACCTATGAATGAGTATTTTCAGATTTGTCAACCTTTTTTCATGATTTGACCTTAAAATGACCTTCAAATGACTTTTACACGGCCGGATACTGTCAAAATGACCTCTGATTCAGATTGAGTGACCCTCAAAACATAAGTGTGATTTTTCAGATATTTTTATTGAATTCTCGTAGTTTGACCTTCAAATGACCTTGAACGTGACCTGACCTCGGATTTGGATTCAGCATCCTCAAAAATCCATGTAGAGTAATGAGACCAATCAATGACCGAGTACCAGTGAATGACCATTTTGGAAAATATCATATGAAAAACAATTAAAAATATATTTGTATGTACATTATTCAATTCTTAAGTAAACGATGCATCTTGTTTTCGATGTTCGATCATAATTTAACAAGGAAAAACAATAGTTATCGCACATCCAAAAGTGGTCATTTTACTGGTCGAAAGCGGTCAATCAATGGTATAAGTACCCTATGATTTTTTTTAGATTTTTTACCACTTTCTCATTATTTGACTTTCAAATGACCTCTAAAATGAGCCAACCTTGAAAAACCGACCCCGGATTCGGATTCAGCGACCCCAAAAACATAAAGTCCACTAGGTCCGGTCGGTGGATTTAAAAATTTTTTTTTGTGTGACTGTGTAATTAATTCTAGGGATAAAATTACATCAACTAATAACACGCGTAACGCAAGACTTTTTAATTCGTGCAAGTGCCGATCTACAACATTATCTGATTTATATTTAGCATAACTGAAAAAAGCGTAACATACCTTATCAAGATTGTTATAGAAATCGGTTTTACCAGCACATAAATATCGACCCAATAATGTTGCGTGTGTTGTAAATACTGTGGCAACCTCAATGTTTCTTGTTTTCAGTGCAATTATTGCAATTCCAGCTTGCCATTCATGACAATGAACAACAATTTTAGGTTTCGTATTAAATATAGAATTGGCAGCATTGCTGAAAAAGATAATATGAATATTGTAATAGAAATTATTTTTATTAAAAATTAATTGATTTAAAAGCTGAAATGTCTTTATTTTTGTGATGTAAATGAGCGTCAAATTTTACATAAAGTCTCGAATGGCTCACCCGCGCGAAATCGAACAATTTCTAACAGCAGCCGGACTAGTCATCATTAACATTTTCATCCTACGAAAGCTCATCCAGTATTATCCATCTCTGACATTTCATCCCGGGCGACTATTCATCCCAACAATTTTTATTTTTTTTTTTTTTATTAATTTTTACTTCTTATGCACTGCCCTGCAATCACTTTCACTATTATCAAAGTAAAACGTGAGTAAACTTCAAAGTTTCCTAGCTCAGTCAATAAAGGTAGGATCAAGATTTTCAAAATACCATTTAAAAGGTCTTTACAAGCACTTTACAGATAAATGAATAATAATAATGTTCAATCATTTATTCACCAATTGTTTTCAACAAATAAATAATCAAAAAAATCAATTTTTTTTGTCATACGGATTTTTTTTCACGAAGTTCGCAAACCATTTATTTGGTTAAGCGATCTAAATTCTAAACTAAAAACAAAGACTCAAAGTATCTGATCGAACGTCGTTATATCGAAGTGTGTGACTGCACTTAGAGAGTAAACGGGTAGTGACTTCGCCAACTCGTGACATAGCAGCTGGGCTTCTATACTGACAAGGAGACCACCCCAGCTCCGAGTCATGGATTTGCTCCAAAATTTTTCGGGGTCTCCTGGTACCCAATGCCATATGAAGCTCACTGTGCTTAGTTGGATCTCATGGGCATTAGGGTCCATTTTTTACAGGATTTTCCACATTATAAAAAAATCTTTCTTATTTTCTATATCGATATGAAAGTACTTGAACGAAAAAATGCAACAAACAAAAGTTTTAAAATTTTTCAAAGAATCTGCTTGAATTTTTTCAGAATGTTTTGGGACCATCTATAACTTAATTCAAGAGGCCCAAATTTGACGCTTTTTTTATAGATTTAGGACTTCTTAAGGTGGCTCATCATTAAAACAGGTCTACAACAGATGTTTATGAAACTTTGCAAAAATGTTATTTAAAGCGTTGCCGGTCATTTTCCCGAATCCATTTTCCCGAATGAAAACTTCCCGAACCACTTTTATCGAAAACCTCTTTCCCGATCATATATTTTTCCGAATATGTTTTTCCGGAATATACATTTTCACGAAAATATTTTTCCCGATTATAAATTTTCCCGAACATACATTTTCTCAAATTAGTAAACACAGATTATGTTTATTTATTGTGCCTACATCACTATTGTAACATACTTATTAGTATCCATTGACGCTTATTCGACATCAGGTAACGATTAATGCTAACAATTTGCTAAAATGGTAGATACTCCCGTCAATTTAGGCACTAAATTCATAATTCGTGGCTTCGTTTATTTGCGTTCAAAAGTAGTGAAAAGTATGACATATTGGGACTGTAATAAGCTTCGAAGTCGAGAGTGTAGAGCTCGAGCTATTACGATTCCTGTACATGGAACGGACAACGTCGAGATACTTCAAGGTCCAGAACTATCATCACATACGCACCCTCCCGATCGAGAAGATTGCTCCGTCTTGAATTCTTCTAAAGTGCCCTTGAAATGCTGTAGAAATTTCAGCATGGGTTACCCAAATAATTTTTGAGAACGAAGCCGTTGAAAATAGAATAATTTAACATGGGCTCTTATGGGAGGCCATCATAATTTCATACATTTTACGCCATAGCTTTTTTATTAAACAACAGATCTTAACCAAAAACGAATATGTTATGCTTCAAGTCACTACCTCTTAGTAGTGATTGGTATGTTAAAAAGTACCCCTTACCGAACTAACTTAAGAGTAATTAAACAAAATGTGTGTAAAATCATTAATTTTGAATTGTGTGAGCAGTCGCCTGCCTAATGCGAGAAAAAGACTGTCAGACGATTCGCTGTACTATTGTTATGATTGCTGACGAGCCACTTTAAAGAGAGTGGTAGATGGTCCCAAAAATTCTGAAAAAATTCAAGCAGATTCTTTAAAAAATTTTAAAACTTTTGATCGTTGCATTTTTTCGTTTGAGTACTTCTATATAAATATAGAAAATAACAACGATTTTTTTAAAATGTGAAAAACCTCTAAAAAATTTACCTTAAAGCCCATGAGATCAAACTAAGCACAAGGAGTTTTAGTATTAGGTACCAGAAGACCGAAAAAAATTTTTGGAGCAAGTCTATGACTCGGAGCTGGCGTAGTCTCGTTGTGAGTTCGCAGAACAGCCCATTGACTATAATGTTGTGCGCGCTGATTGTGTTTAGGTCAGCGCAGAAGTTTGACTTCGTTTGGCTCAGCTATTACGCTTTAAGGCATACCCGTTATAGCGCGCACTCACTTCACTATACTTTTACTCTCCCTGTGTAAGAGTTGTCAAAGCAAGAATGCGGAGAATCCACGCATGTCAAAAGCCGAACGTCGAAAGAGAATTAAATAAACTTTAAATTTTTCGTCATGTAACCCGTATATTAGATCAATTATAATCCGCTTTATTTTCTAAGCAAAAAATAATAATTGCATTCGATTCAGCGGATCAAAGTGCATGGGAATAAGAGTATTCGAAAAAAAATTAACTCTACGACCACTTCAATGGACGATATTCATGGTTTTCATAAGCCTTGATCATATTTTCATGATTTTTACATGTAAATTACATTTTAAACTTGAGGTGCACCCAGCACTCATGGAAAGAAGAAAAAAATTCATTAAGGTCCAGTCTAGTGCATACGTACCTAAATTCAGAAATAAATTCGCACACGAGATAGCCAAATAAAATTGAGTTATTTGACTCTGCATCAAGTAGAGGTACTCCAATATTGCAAGTATTCCAAAGTTCTTGACGGTATTCTTCCAACTTCCAAGTTGTATTTTTAATATCAAATAAGATAACTTGAGGATTTCCATCGACTAACCAAGTTCCAGTTAATATCTGCAAAGAAAAATTGAAATGAGTGAAATATATGGTGCCCAAGAATCGAGGGATAATATTGATATAACTGCATGCAGGGGAACTTTTTAATGGAAATCCTAATTTTTCGATCAGATGCATTGTAGAAAAGGTTTTAACCAAAAACTAAGAGCAAATCAGAAGCATAGAGGACTTGGTAAAATTTTTCACGCTGTCAGAATTATTTTTCCATTCTGGGATCGACCTAGAAGATTCGATCTCTGAAAATGTCTGAAGCAGAGTCAACTGCAACTCCAAATAACCCGGATCCCATAGACCTGGCGCATCATATAGCCGATATTGTTTTAATGTACTATTACCGGTTGAAAAAAAAAATAAAAAAATCTATTTTCATCATTTATTTTCTCAGCTCGTTTATTATATATATTTGGGCTACATCGCGTCAACTGTCCCCCCCCCNCCCCCCTTGGATTAGAGTTGTAATTTGATTTTTTATATTTTATTCTGCTTTCCAAGAGTGAATATGAAAAAATGATTGAAACATGATTTTTTATGTAAAATTTTATAAGGAATTCAAATTTGATGTCAAAAATCATATTCATAAACTCCAAGTACCTTAATTTCTTAATTTCAGCTTCAGTGGCAAAAATAAATATGTTCGTATCCAGCGATATGGCCAATATTGTAATATGTTCATCGATACACCAAAATACAACTTCTGATAAATTTTTGTCATCGGCAGACAAACAGACTTCATAATTGGCCTTCCTATCCTATAAAACATGATTTTTTTCTACATTTCCTCTATTCTTGACAAATATGAAGGTCAATAATGAACTCTGTTTTCCTATGGAATCAAATATTTCGCCATTTTTTGCTGATCTTTTATTATCAGATTTGGAGTCACAGTGTTGGCATGAGTTACAAAGAGATTTTGGTATTGTACCGTGGTTTTCATATAGGTATGTAGACGACGGCTTTGCCTATATGAATGTTGAGCATATTTACACCATTCTTGGAGTGTTTAACAGTCACAATAGACACATAAAGTTTACTCATGAGGTAGAAGTTGATGGCTCTTTGAATTTTTTGGATGTGAAATTTACTCGAAGTGGGACGAACATTGTTACTGATTGGTATATGGAAGAGATTTCGTCACAAAGAACTATTAATTTCTTATCTAATCATCCGTTGAAATTAAAGATCAATACTGTCTATAACTTACAAGGAGACCTTGTCACCTTCGGGTCATGGATTTGACCCAAAATTTTTCTGGTCATTCAGGACAGTCAGAAAATATGCCCTGTTATGTTAGGTTGTGTGAATATGCCCTAGAAGCGTTAGATAAAAAATGAAATTCAAAATAATAAAAATAAGCATATAAAGTGCAATAAATATTCATTTACTACCCTCAAACTATGTTGGTTACTCATTTTAGACACCTGGTTCTTGAAAACATTACATATCATTGTTAAGAAGTTACGATTAAGAAGTACACGGGCATTTCATTACAGAAGTAAAATGTGTCCAATATTTGTACACATAACCAAACTTTTTTTTAAATTCAATAAATTAAGATTACGATGTTTTTTTAAATTTTTTGAATTTAAAAAAAAAGTTCGATTATGTGTACAAATATTGGACTCCTTTTACTTGTGTACAGAAACGCCCGTGTACAAGTTTCATGTGTATGAATGATACCTTGCCATATTTGCACGTAAGGCTACTATTTACCATGATCTCATGCCATGCTTTTGAGCAATATTGCAATGTTTTGAGTCACGAGTGAGATCCAACAACTTTTTAAAAATGAATTGTAATGTTTTCAAGATCCAGGTGTCTAAAATAAGTAACCAAAATAGTTTGAGGATAAGAAATGAATATTTATTGCACTTTATATGCTTATTTTTATTATTTTTTACGTAAGGCTTCTAGAGCATATTCATACAACCTAACATAACAGGGCATATTTTCTAACTGTCCTGAATGACCAGAAAAAGTTTGGGCCAAATCCATGACCCGAAGGTGAGAAGGTCTCCTTGTTAGTTAATAGAGCGTTACTCTTGTCAGATTCAAGATTCCATCGGCAGAATGTAGGAAGGATACGCAGGATTTTTCGAGTAAATGACTACCACGATCAATTTGTTGATAAATTCATTTATAAACGTATGCATTGTCTGAAGCGCAGACGTGATGATTGTAATAATGGGAATGTATTGCCTAGTGATTAAAAACATGTCATCGTAACGTCACCGTATAATTCTGAGTTAATCAGATTCACGTTTCACTTGTTAGACAAATATCGCGTCAAGATTGTTACATCTATCGGCAATAAGATATATTACATGTGTTGTAATATATGCACCAGGTAGATTCACCATCTTTGGCGTTTGATATTTGCTTACAATTTGTTTAAGTTTCTTACAACGAATTTCCACAGGTATGCAAGCACATTTGGAATACTATTCTCAATTTGGTTTATGGTGTTCTTTCACCAGACACTAAGAAATCAGATAATTCAGTTATTTAAGGGGAAAAGGTACCTAAAATCTCCAAAAAAAAATTTTTTTTTATTGACTTTTTTGATAGAATTTTTCTTCGGTTTCCCAGTGCCATGATCGGAATTTTGAAATTTAACTGTATCGTGATGCACAGCCTATTTAGTCCCGTTACTTTTACGATTATTTAGAAAAAATGAATGAAACAACTCATAGGTATATCGTTGTCATTCTCTCATGAATCTCGAAACTTTCATAAGTCGGTAGCGCCATCTATTGATACTCGTTTTATTCTTTGGTTAGAGTATATCTAGTGTTATGTACCGAACTTGGTTTTCCTTGCACGGGCTTCTGCGCAAGCGCGTAGCCGACGGAGATGCAAGTCAGTACGGAGGCGATCTTCTGCTTGGCTGCTGATGTGGGTTCGATTCCCGATAAACGCGTTGAAACGCGAAGAAGTCGTAGATGCACTCCTGGTATCGATGGCACGAAACGATGAAAAATAATGACCTCAGAGAGGTGGGTCGACGTTGCCTCGACCCTCGCGAGGAGGACTTGCGTCGGGGGAGGTCAAGCCAATAGAATACAACAGACTTGTTGATATTTGCATGTGCGTGCTCCGCTCGTTCGACGGCAATTCGGAGCTTGCAAGGGTAGGTCAATGACCCGCGAGTCGTGAGACTCAGCTCGCGACTCTTTCCTTTAGGCAATCTGGCCCGAGTTACGGGTCGGCGGGGCGCTTGCCCGGGTTGAAACTCGAACACCGGGTCGATCACCAAAGGGGGAAGAGGGAATATCGGTGCTTGGTATCGGTACCTTGCACTGAGATATTCTCGTTCGATGGACTATGTCCGTTAATTAGTTCTGAGACTAAGTTCGATGATCGGTCTCAAGATCAAGTCCGCGAGACAGCTCCGTGGTCAAGTTCTTCACGGATATTCTCCAATCAAAGCTCAAGTCCAACAGAGGTTGTCTATGCAACTATTTCGCAAGTCGACCAGCCAAGAGCTTTGGGGGATGCTCAGGTGGTTGTTCAAGAATGAATGACGAAGCGTCAAAGGGCTGCACTCCTTATTTACTCGACGGGATATTGACGGCGCGAGGAGGAAAAAGGAGGGGAGCCGCCGGTCGGGTGATCAAGCCGCCGGTTTTTGGTGGCTAGAGGGCAAGGGAGGGAGCGCCAATGATTGTTCGGTAGGCGGAGTTGCATTGAAATGTCGTTGGAGCTTTTTGGTGGTTGCGAGAGTTCGGGGAAGTTGCCTATCTTGGTATGCATTTGGCAGCCGCACCTTTCATCGTGGTTTCGGAAAATTGCGGCGGCGTCTTTCATCGCGAGTGCGGAGAATTTGTGGCGGCACCTTTCATCGTGGGTTTGGAAAATTGCGGCGGCGTCTTTCATCTCGCGTTCGGAGAGATGCCCGTTTGGCTGTGTCCTTTTATCTCGCGGGGCTTTTTTGATACGCAGGCGTCTGCTTTTCTATTTTATCGATCTCCGGTCATTCTCTCTGAGTGGTAAGGTAGGTAAGTTGTATGTTTTTTTTATGGAGAGGACGTGGGCAGGGTAAACCCTTGCACCAGTGGCCCTTCCGAACTCCGGCATGATTCCCACCGGAACCATTGTTAGACATTACTTTGGTGGGTGCCTTTTAGCAGTGCTGCTGCATCGATGTATTTGGTCATTTCCCTACATCCCCCATCCACTGCACGCCAAGGCGCGGTGATCAGGGGTTCAGGAACCGTGTCAACTCGTTGGTGATCCCCCGCTCGCCCCGCGGAGCCCTCATCCAGCGGCATTCCTGCCTTCCGGAGCCGTCTTTGTCGGTGCTCTCCCTTGTGTTGATGTTTTTCCTCTTGGTACGTTCGTCTGAACTCGCCGGAAGCTAAACTAGTAACCGTCCTTGTGATAGAGGTCCGGGTCTCACCCACGGCACCGTCCCGCTTTTCCGCCTCTTGCGAGCACCTCTCGCTTTTTCTGGCTTCCTCCATGATGAGTGGAAACTCCGTCGGTCAGCGCCAGCACTAGAAGTTCTGATATCGGGCTCCATCTCTTAGGATACGATGTTGGAGCCGAAGGGTCGGTGCTCTTCCTTGTGTTGGCGCTCTTCCTCTTGAATGATGCAATCCATTGGCCAACATCAGCACTAGGAGTTCTGGCTTTCGGGCTCCATCTTGCGGGAATTCTTCTCAGCTTTGGCCGCAGGGTGATTGGAGGATATTTCACCCTCCAGGAGGCTGCCTACAGCCGTGGACCTACAGTTTATAGTGGAATCCGAACCACTTCGGGCTCGGGCTCGACCTCACCGAGCGAAAAATCACGAATGAAATTTCCCTCAGTGGGGATCGAAACCACTCCCTCAGCACAGCGTTGGTTTAGCAGATAGATGGCCCAACGCCTCTACCCACTAGACCAACGGAGGCTGTGGGTAAGTTGTATGTGTATGTGTGTGTGTGTGTGTGTGTGTGTGTGTGTGTGTGTGTGTGTGTGTGTGTTTCGGGTTCTTTGCAAGCGTTGTGCTGACTGGGCAGTCTATTACATTACACTAGCAGAAATTTGTTTGTTTATATGACTATAGGTGTACACTAACGCCACCACTCGCAGCACGTGGGTTTCGGCATATCTTCTGTCGCTCTCTGTTTCGTGCGCGAGCCCGGATCAAATGTCAATAACAGTCTGCTGACTGTTTCTTGATTTTCCAATGGCTAAAAATTACATTTTTTTGAAAGTGAAAAAAGTACATGTACAGTGAAGTTATATCCTTGCAACTTGACATCAGTATATATGTATGTCACTGTACTTTATGTATGTGTATATGACTGTATCATGTACATTATTCATGTATATTGTTGAATGTGATGAACAAGATTAGTGATAATTGATCAATTTTGAGTGATTTTTTTCCAACTATAGATCCAATGTTTTATGAATGTGAGTGAATAAGTAGAGGACTGAGTTCAAGTTCTAATGTGAGATTGTGTATATTTGTGTGAAAAGTTGATTTGAAGCAAAGAAACCGCTTTTTTTAACGAAAATAATTTTTTTATGACGGTACGGAGCCTCAAAAAATCTGAAAAAATTTTTTTATCATGCTTTTTAACAAAAAAGGTTCCTAGAACCCGATGGTTCCGGTAAAAAAAAAATTTATAGAAATATTTTTTTTGAATTCCTTGTCAAATTTTAATAAATTTTGACCGTTTCACGTTTTCAATTGAAGCTTTCTAGCTCAATCTAGAGCATCACAAAGATTAATGCGAAATTCGGAAGATGTTTCTGAAGACATTAAAGAATGATAAAACTATTTTGCTGTGCGTGTCACAGCAGAAGCTACCCAACGAATCATAAGATGTTATATATAAAAACAATTTTCTATTTTAAACCTCCTTTGAGCCCTTAAGAAAAATAATTAATTGTTATCGTATAACAAGTAACCTACTTTTATTCCTTTTTTTCGTAATAATTCAACCGCAACATTGAAAGGACTATTAACAGGAAAATCAATTTCCTCAACTTCGGTTTTTGCTGAATTTTCGTCGTAAGGGCCCAGCAAACAGTATTGATCTCCCATATCGTCAGTTGAAATAGAAGCTTTTGATCTTATAACGGTATATATACCGCCAACTGAAACATGTGAGTTACACACATATAAAAACTGTATAAGAAATATTTATTGGTAAAAATAAAATTAACCTTTATTAGCAGCTTCCCAAGAAACTTCAAAACACCATTTAAAGTTGGACTGTGAAGAATCCTGCGTATCTGTATTAACCCATGGATCTTGGGTACTATCTGAGCGGTAAAATCTTTTACTTAAATTCTGAGACATGACGAATAATGAGTGTAATTTTCCAACGACATGCAATAAGTTTTGAAGTTGGAATTAATCTGTAGAAAGAATATCTTATTTATTTTTTTTGATAATAGTAAAAAAAGAAAGAATACTTCAGTTTCTGATATGGGTCAAAATATGAATAATGCCCCAGCGCCACACGCAATCAAAACATCCTGATTACTCAAAAAGACTTAAATAAAATTCAGAAAAATAATCAAAAATAGATTTTCGATAGGTTTACATCTCAGCTTTAGTGGTAAGGTCAAAAATGCAAAAATATGCCTCCATAACCTCATGCAATGGACTACAAGCTCAAACATGTTGTAACTTCTACAGTTCAACTCCAATTGTCTTTCTAAGTAGCTAGATCGAAAGATCTAGCAATTTTATTTTAGAATCAACATCATAAAAAAAGGAACTTTTTCGATTTTGTTTTCGGTGAAGAGCATGTGGTATGCAGTTTTCGAGCGTTTTGGTACTCTTTACGTTTCTTTATCTTTCACGCATTAGACTTTCACCATAAAAATGAAAAAACACATGTTACATTTACTTATTCCACAATTTCCAATAGTGCAATCAGTTTTTAGAAAATTTTGCTTCTTTGCATGAATAAAATAAAAATAACAAAACAATTCAAAAGGTGTAATTTTATAATATAATTTTTTCATTCAGAAATGCAAAAGATACTTTTGAGTTTTTACCCTAGGTGCGTTTTTACCATATAAAAAAATTGACTTTGCTTATATATAGTTTGTTTTCTACGAGGAGCCATTTGTTTGTCTACTATATTGAATATCGATATTATAACAATTGAAATATGAAGTCTACTTTCCATGGACGCCAGAAATATGGGTTAGACCTATGAATCAAGTCTCTTTCCGTTTTGCAATTCGGGCCGAACAAATTTTATTATTTTACATTCATGTTATTTTTGTTTAATTGCTTATAAATTTTTATCTTTAACTTTTAGCTTTAACATTAATAGGAAAATTCTTAATGATAAAGATATTTGATTGAAAATTAAGTTAAGAATGCGTTCATCGCGTCAACAAATTAAGGAGTAATACTATAGATTTTGCTCCATTTTGATCTACAAAAGATACTGACAATGAATTTTGGTCAAAATCTGTAAGCTTGTGTACAGGGCTATTTATAAAAATTGTGAAACTGACCCACATGAATTTTTTTCAAAAAAAATTATACACGATTTAACAGATTTAATACGATAATGATAATTTTTTTTTCATTTAAATATGTAAATCTCAAATTTAATTCACTATTGAATACTGAACTCTTTAAGATCTTTCAATTTTTAAACTTTTCTTAACATTTACAAGACATAAGCGCCAAAAAATATATTACTTCTGAAATGAAGCTAAATAAATATGGTTGTGACATGCATTTTTGGGAGTAGAACGTACTTAATTAGTCGTACAATTTTTTATTCTAAAATAGATAATCTCTACTGTCATACTTGCTGTGTTAAAGTGTAAAATAAGCTTAATTTTTGTGCTGCAAATAAAATTCTTTGATGACAGCTTTTCTTTAATTTTTTTAATGATTTACTCATTTTAATGTAAAAACTCTATGCTTATATAAATAGAGTCTCAAAATAAATTTTCAAAATATCAATTTAATAAATTATTCTAGACTCTCATGAGCTTATAACCTTGCAAATAAATTTAAAATAGTAAAAAATTAATTTATAAATTTGAATACCATGTTTTCATAAAATGTAAACCTGCATAATGTAGTTGTTATCTAATTTTTTTTCTAGTGTTAGTACGTTCATTTTTATATTTTATTTTAGTGTAACCATACAAAATTTTGACACTTATTTGTGAATGTTAAGTAATATGAATCGATTATTAAACACATTATTAATCATACTAATTATCTCACTTGTAAAATTATCCGGTGCAATATTTATTTAAATATATCTTTTACTTTAATCGTCATATATTTCAAAAATATTGTTAAAAGCAAGTGAACAACTAATATAATTTTATTTTCTGATCACTTTTCTCGTTTTTAATTGCACGAACCGTTAAGATGCTACCTAAAATTAAATTTTCGACCATTTCATGTATAGAGAATGATAAATGGTCAAAAATCAAAAATAAGCTTATTGTTATACTTATCTAGCTACTCAAGTATTAAACGCACAAAATTAGTAAAATATAATGAATAATTTTGATAATAGTAATAATTTAATATAATAATTGTTAATAGGATTAATTCATCGGTAAATAATATTTTTTATGGCATTTAAAAAAATTTAATTTAATGCAAGTCAATTAGGGATATACCCTACTGAAAGGATCCATATGAAATTCACGTGAATTTCACATGAACGATTTACGTGAAATATACAAGGATTTTTCATGAAATGTATGTAAAATTCACATGAAGATTGTCCAATTTCGTTACGTGAATTTTATATAGATTTCATGAAGGGTTCATATAAAATTCATGTGAATTTCACGTCTATCTAAAGCTAAATATCTCGTGGGGAATTTGATAAAAAATTTTTTGCGTGAAATTGACGTAAAATGTGAGCAAAATTTATATGAAATACATGTGAAATTTACGTAAAGTATGTATAAATTGTATATGAAATATACGTGTATTTTACGTATATTACATGTAAAATAAATGTAAGATTTTACAAGGAGAATTCAGTGACCATTATTTTTTCGAGAAATTTATGTGAAATTTTTTTAAAATTCACGCAAAATTTATATGTGATAGGCATCCATATTTCATGAAATGCACGCAAATTTTATTTATATTTTATATAAATTTCATGTAAAATTATTTTTTTAATGTACGATCAAAATTTGGTGAAAAAATTTTTACATAAAAATATCATGAAATTAGCGCAAAATTTATATGAAATGCACATGCAATTGACGTCAAGTATGCATATATTTCATATAAAATATATATGGATTTTACAAAAATTTTATATATAAGTACCGAACAATTTTTCGAGAAAAATCCGTTGAAAAGTTTTTTACGTAAAATGTACGTAAAAATAGTGTGAAATTTATATCTAAAATTCAACAATTTATCTTCAGAATATTTTAATTCGCGTTACATTTATGAAGGATACTGCATAGGAACTCATAAAATAAAATGTTGATAATAAAACAATGATCGATTATTAATCTTTATTCAAAAACAAACAAGAACATTTGAATTGGTCAATATTATTATTAAACTTTGCCAACTTTCCAAACTTACGACAAACGAAGTAAGTAAACAATCCAATACCATTTGGTCTTTTAACTTTTTTTAATCTATAAAATAACTCATTGATACAAATTCTGTTATACTCCCTTATCAATCATCAAGTTTTTATTCAAACTTCTGAAAATGTTTACTATACCTTGATACAGAATGCAATAATAAATTCAAATTTTATCAAAATTATATTTACAACAAAATTGTATCAATTGGGTTATTTTTTATCACATTGGTTAATGATTCGGTTTGTATTTTCAAACCCTTAATTAAGTTTACATCTCAATACTGTTTGATTTTATAGATAGTAATCTTTATCACAAGATTGTGTTGCTTAAGTTTCTTAATTTTTAATCTNTTTAAAAAAATTAATTAACAAAGTATTAACAAGCTATAAAATACAAACAATTTTAACAGATCAATACCCAGGTATAAATTCTAAGGAATTCAAGGAATATGTGAATAGTGAGGGAATAGAATTAATTTTTACTGCTGTGGATGCACCGTTTTCAAATGGCATAAATGAAAGGCTAAACCAAACACTAGTGAATAAAATTAGGTGTAAGATTAATGAAAAGGACCAGAAATTGGCTTGGACAACGATAGCGAAACAATGCGTAGAAATGTATAACAATACAGAACACACGGTTACAAAGTTTACACCTAGATATTTGTTGGAAGGAAAACAGTTGGAAATTTTACCACCGGAGTTAGAGCCTATATTCTCAGGTGAAAATTTAGAAAAAGATAGAGAAATAGCGTTTTTAAATACAATTAAATCACATAATAGCAACAAGGAAAGATTTGACAAAAACAGGAAAATATTGGAACTTAAGGTTGGAGATCAAGTATATGTTGAAAATGGAAATAAGTTAAACAGGAAAAAATTGGAAGAATTGAGAATTGGACCATATAAGGTACTCAAACGAATATCAAAATCGATATATGAAATAGATACAGGACACAAGAAACCTGAATCAAACAAATTTCATATTACAAAGTTAAGTCCTGTTGCGGGTGTAAATTAAACAATTGTATATATGCAATTGTTTTTCTTCGAGGGGGGGAGATGTAAAGAAAAGCCTGACAAGTGTGTATTTGTCAGGACTTTCCTTTAACGGTTTCCCTACCGCGTACTGAAAGTAGTATGAGTGATGGTAAATAGAGTGTGGAGAGGGGAGGTATGAGTGTACGATTGAATGAACGAGAGAAGAGCGTTTAGTAAGCGAGATAAAGGCTTGAAATGTTGTTTCTCTTGTAATTTCAGGTAATTTTTAGATTAATTTGTTATTTAGATTGTAAGTTGTAAATATTGTAAATAAAACTCTTGTAATTTCAGAGCAACACGTTTAGTTTTTATTCAACTGCATTTACTCCATTATATATATGTAGCAGCTTCAGCTGCAAGACTCCACATAGATTCCGGCAATCCTGAATCAATCATTAATGCGGTCATTTTGTTTTAAATTGTTTTATTAAATCTTTCGGCAGTTCCATTTAATTGGGGAGTGTGTGGGGGTGCAAAGTCAAAGTTTGCTTTCTCTGAATTAATAATTTCCGCGAATTTTCCGCCAGTGAACTCAGTACCGTTATCACACCTTATATAGCATAATTTTTCATCTTTTCCTCTTAAGTTTCTCGCGTGTTTTAGAAAGTCTTCCAAACAATCTCCGGATTTGGTTTTATTTTTAACGCAATATACTCTCGCGTATCTAGAGAAATCATCAATGAATACTATAATCCACCGATTGTTACCCGGGAAAGAATTAGGACTTATAGGTCCCATCGTGTCTGTATGTACGGTGTGGAGGGGTCTATCTGATCTGGTCCTATTGTTCTTAAAGGGGAGTCTTTCCATTTTCGCACGGACACTTATATCACATTCTACGATCTCTTGCCCGAATTTTATTTTTCTCAGTATTTCAATTTCTTTTTGTAATTTTATCAAATAATCTCTGGACGCGTGACCTAACCGTCTATGCCATAACATGCCTATTTCCTCTTTTTCAAATTTTAGGTTTTCGGGAATATTCCACGACAATTTTTCAGCCTCATTTTCGGTAATTTCTATATTTAAATCAGTAACTTTTCTCGGGACTCGTGTATCGATCTCTTCTCTCGGTAAATCCTCCCTCCCAAGCTCTGAAACATCCGATTTTTCAGCGGCTTGTTCGAGATCGATATCTGTTAGACGCGCTTTGAATTCATAGTTTGATTCTCTATTTTCATGTAGATCCGAAGAATTTATCGTAACTATCCAGTTTGGTTTTCTATAAACACCTTTAATGAAAATTTCATTGTTCGACTCATCAAAAATTTTGAGCTCAGTGTTGTCCAAGTATACCCCGCATCCCGCATCCGCGAATTTTCTCAGGGACAATAAATTTTCGGCACCTTCGGGTCCTCGACAATATCTTTTTCAAAATGGACATTTTTTCCAATCAATTCATTGAGCTGCTCCGCGTTTCCTATTAAATCAAAAGAGAAAAAGGAGAGAAAAAAAATGAGTATGTTTGTACTGCAAAACATAGGCACATTTTTTTTTTTTTGCATGTGTATAGTGTGTATCAAATTTAGGTGAAGCGGCGCTGATCCGAGCATGTGTGCTCCCTCCCAAACCGATTACACTGCACAGCTGTGTATCGTTACTTGTGGGTGGAGTTTGCCAAATACACACTGCCGGGTAGCATTACCAAAACTAGCACCTTTTGCATTTACCGTGTACCTACTATTTTATGTAAAAAAAGGTAATTCTGTAGTGTTCAAGTAATCTGAAAAAAAATTTCTCAGCAAGCAAAAAAATTGTAATCTTTAGAGAAGAGAAAGAAAAAAAATTATTCTACCTTTTGGAGAGAAAAAAGTTCATTCAGAAAAAAAATTCAAGGGGAATTTTGCTTGACACACTATCACACGTAGTTAGTTTGATAGCATTCTTAATATTTAGTAACGGTTCATTAAACAAGGAAAGAAAGGAGAAAAAAAATTCGAATGACCGCACGGCGGTACGTCGTTATTTTGAAGTCTATAAGGCAGTACATCTAATTGTATGAAGCTTACGTCTGGGCGTCGCGAGATACTAGTCTGCACAGCAGCTGTCGTATTTCACGGGTTTCAAAAATGGCAATGTATGTTCACGAACACAACGGGGAAGAAGGAGCGCGCGCGCAAAAGAAGAGAGACAGAAAACACGTTGTTCTTCTCGCTGGTTTCTCCCGCTGCCCGCCATGTACATGTATGTCTGTGTGTGTAACACGTGCGCCGCGCCGGAAACGACTTGTCACGACACGACGATGAGTCTCGCTGAGCGAATTTGACCGATGAGAATTTTGCACAGCAAAAGAAAATCATGGCCGTCTTACACCCAACGAATTTTATCGTGTCGCAATGTCGTACACTCATTGTACATTTTACTCGTAGACTCTGAAGAGCTCTGCTAATTTGCAATCGCGGGATGTTAAACGCGTGAGAGAGGAGACAAAAAAAAAGACTAAAAGGAGAGAAAAAAAATATATATATGCTCGGCATTCGTGGAAATTATTATTTTTTCCTTTTTTTTTCCGACACTTCCAAATTTTTTTACGTTCGCGATTGCTTGACGAGAGATGAAAAGAAATAATAAAGAGAAAAAAAAAATTCGACTCGGTATTTGATCTCATTTTGTATAGGTACTCGGAAAAATTTACTTACTCTTAGACACTTTATCCATTTGATTTCCACTCACTTGCGTGCTAGGTAGGGTGTCCGTTATTTCCCGACTTTTTTGTATTGCTTCTCCCCCCACCTAGATGTCTTCTATTTGATAAGACAATGAGAAAGCCGGGTTATAAAGTTCGAAAAAATGATTTTAAGGTGGCCCCCAAGCGGCTTGAAGCTTACATGTATTTTAAATGGGAAGAACTTAAAAATTTGATTCTCAGCGATAAAAATGATGAAAAAATTTGAAAAAATTCAGCAACCCATGTATTTTATGTATTTTTTGACGAGGAATCGATTGGTGACCTTGAATTTGACCTTGAACATAACCTCAAAGCTACAGAGAACCAAAAATCGTTTTTTTCACAGTGACCCCCATTTTTTATTGCAGATTCGAAAAGAGCGGAAAATTTCATGTCTGATTATGTCTTTCGATTTTTTTTCAAGGGTATTCAAAAGGCGCTGCAGATATAGATAAAGCCCTAACTAGTAAAAACTCGAAAATTGCACGCTAAAATTAGGATTTTATTTGTATCTGTAGCATCTTTATAATGCCCTTGAAAAAAAATCAAAAGACATAATTTGACTTGAAATTTTCCGCTCTTTTCGAATCTGCAATAAAAAGTGGGGGTTACCGCAAAAAAAAACGATTTTTCTCAATATTTTGTTCGCTGTAGCTTTGAGGTTATGTTCAAGATCAAATTCAAGGTCACCAATCGATTCCTCGTCAAAAAATACATAAAATACATGGGTTGCTGAATTTTTTCATCATTTTTATCGCTGAGAATCAAATTTTTAAGTTTTTCCCATTTAAAATACATGTAAGCTTCAAGCCGCTTGGGGGCCACCTTAAAATCATTTTTTCGAACTCTATAACCCGGCTTTCTCATTGTCTTATCAAATAGAAGACATCTAGGTGGGGGGAGAAGCAATACAAAAAAGTCGGGAAATAACGGACACCCTAGTGCTAGGGCCCATAACCTGATGGAATGGGTTGGTTGAGGCCATGGTTTGGGGCCATAATCTAATCTTACACCTCACTGCGCACTCTGTATTATTACAGTAGGATATATTTAGTGAAAATCTTTTCAAGACAAATAATTAAGAGATGAAATTAAGAGAAAACAAATTTTTAAGAGAATGAATAAGGTAAAAGGGCGCGAGGCAGTTATGCTTGTTAAGCAGGAGACGGGCTCGAACGTAATAAGCGGCAGAGCGTGTGTAGAGAGATGTAAGGAGAGGTGACTCGTGCGCTCGTGTCATCGCCACATCCACGCCATCTTCCTTCATTTCTCGCACACACGGCTTGCTACCCGACTACTCGTCGACAGATATCCTTGTTTTACCAATAACTCCGACACCCATGAATTACAAACGAATGATATCGATAGTGATGATGAGAATCTTCCCGTACATGAACGTGTTTCGGAAGAATTGGTACGTAATTAATAATGACAAAGAAAATTCCATTTTTTAAATTCCCCAGGAAAAAGGCAAAACGACTTAAGGGCTAACAGGGGGATTAAAATTGAAAAAAATTAAAATTTGCATTACCGCAAAGATCATAAATAAATTATAATACTGGTTAACATTGACATTGACATGAAATTTTCTTTTTTCCAATAGTATTTTTTGATCTGTTTTTAATGCATTTTTCAAAACGTAAAAATTTTGTTTATTCACTGAGATACAGTTGTTGGCCCTTAAGTCCAATTTTTGTGTTTTTCAGAAAAACGCATTTTACATTAAGTCCAAACATAGTGATGATATGGAGTAGAAATTTGGACGTCGTTAGTCGTTTGGCTTTTCCACTACATAATTAATCTCACTTCTGTGAAATGAATCATAATGTAATACAAATCCGAATTAAACGAAATCTCACGTTACTTTTTCAACTACAAAATAAGGATGATTGTGCCGATTTAATTTTAATAGCATATTTTTACCTAGGATTACAACGATCCAATGGATTGTCACGTTCCACTCAAATATTATAAACAATTAGCGATATTCATGAGATTTCACTCTGCGAGCGGACGCGCCAGCCTCGATCTACGGGATCTGACGACATCAAGCTAAGTAGAAAATAAAACTATAAAATTGGTAAAAACATCGAGTTCTATGAAAAGAACATCGAAATTGACACCTATTACAAAGGTGTGAAATAGACACGCCATGCAAAGCATTGATTAAATTTGAGGCGATGTCGGTTTAACAGGAAGACCAATAAACTCGTAAAAATTAGTAAAAGCTGTCGTCAGATTCTCACGGATGAGCAGGTGCTGACAGGTACTTTCTCCTATTTTTGTATGCGAAATCTAGTGGTATATATTGAGGACCCACGGAGGCCTCTGGGCGATTCTACTATCATCTGATACGGTGTGCGGAGCTCACGTCAGTTTGTACCGCGATTTCATTTTCCGACTTATATTATTATATCATTCAGACTTGTATCGTATTAAATTGTCCCGCGAGTCTAAGGCGGAGTGTAATTTGTAATCGGGACTAGTGCAGTTAGTGCAGCGCAGCCAACCAGGAACGCCAGCCAACCAGTCGCAGAGTGAGCCACGATCTACGCCGAGAATCGTCCGTAGCTGTATGTTAAGTAGTCTAAGATATTCTTTGTAATTAGTATCTAAGGGTAGTGTAATAAATAATTGTTGTACTTCGTAGAAGGCAGACGACC